TGTGCCCTGGGTCTGGAATCTGGAGGACCTAAATTCAAATCCTGCCTCTCAGACATTAGCTATGTGACTCAGCCTCTGTTTTCCTCACCTGTAAAATGGTAGTAATAGCCCCTACCTCAAAGGGTCATTGTGAGATAGTACTTGGAAAGCACCTTGTTAACCTTAAAGTGCTGATAAATACTGGCTCTCTTGGGTTGTTGTTATCAATCATCCTGGGTAAGGTCTGACCTTCTCGAGGTGCACCTCTGAGGCTCAGTTGTGGTTTTGACCTTAGTCGGATCGCTTCTCGTCTGTATATGGACATAAGCAGGAGGGAGTGAACATGAAGTCTCCCGAGTAGGGAGCATTCATTTCCATTTCCCAGATTCAAACAGAAGAGAGAAGGGTGCCAAGGTAGTTTCAGCCAGGTATTGCTCAGGGCACTGGCCCAAGGCTAACAACCCGCAGCTTGCAGAGCTAGCGCCTTCCACGAGCAGGCCAGCAGGCGGGCGGCAGGCAGGCAGGCAGGCCAGCTCTCCCTCTCCTTCTGCCGAAGGCACCCTGGCCCCCAGGGCCTGTGCAAGGCCCCCTGCCCCTCCTCCCCCATCCTCAAGTGCTCAGCCCTGCCCCCACCCCAGCACCTATCACACAGAGCCAGACACCCAAACACCCGCCTCCTCTTCTCCTCCACCGTCCCCCTCCACCCCCTCCTTCTTCCTCCCCTCCCTTTTTCCAGTCCTGTGTCCTGGTGAGGCTTCAGGCCCCCAAAAGGAACTCTGTTGATTTCCCCCTCCTACACACACACACACACACACACATATACTCCTTGGGAAGAAAGCCAGGGGCCCGGTAAGTGGGGCCCTCTCTAGCTGGGCCTGCCTCCAAAAGGCCTCTGTGCATTGAGGGTGGGAGGGGGAGCTGAGCTTCTGAGGGAGCTCCCCCCTTCTCCCCCTCCTGGGCACACAGCAGCCCAGCTGCCCCCCTCTCTGGCCTCCCAGCTTCCGCCACCCTCCCGAAACACCAGCCAACTGCCTGCCCCCAAGGCCAGCATGAAGGCACATGTCCCTGCAAAGAATGTGGCCCCGCTGCTGCCTGCCAGGAAGGTTAGTAAAAAGGAAGGGAGCTTCTATCTCTCCCCCCTCCCTTGCCCCTATGGCCTCCTTCCCCCGGGGCTGCTCTCCTCCTCCTCTCCTAGGTCAGTCTCCTCCGCCCAGCCTCTGTCTCTGGGCTCTGCTCTTCTCTTTTATCTCTCCCTTTCCTTGCTAGGAGTCAGGGCTTGACGTTTGAGAGTCAGCCGGGAGGGTGAGAACAGCCCAGAATCTGGCACCATCTGCTCCTTACCTGGGTGGTCTGGGGGAAATCTTTCAGCAGCTCCTGGTGTCAGTTTCCCTCTCTGTAAAATAAAACGGTTGGACTAGATGGTTTTGGAAATCACAGACCTAGAACTGCAGGGGGTCTCAAAAGCCATCTGATGCTAAACCCCTCTTTTACAGAGGAAGAAAGGGAAGTGACTCACCTAAGGTCACCTAGGATGCTTTCATTTTTGCCTTCCTATCCCCTGCCCCTGACAGAGAGCTTCGTTTATATAGTGAGTGCTTAATAAATGCTTGTTCGGTTACCTTGCATTGACAGGCAAAGCTGGGCTTTGAACCCCAAGTTCTAGCCTCCATTGACAGTACTCCACATTGCCACCTTGGCCGGGGGCTGGAACTCCACAGCCCTGTTTTGGGCCTATGGGCAAAGTCTGAGTCTCACTCTAATCTATCATAGGGTTTAGTACTCAGAGGGATCCTGAAGATTATTCCCCGTTTTATAATTAAGGACACTGAGGCTCAGTGGGATTGTACAATCACACAGGTAATATATATGGATCAAGATTGGAACTCAGGTCCCATGACTACAATTCAATGACCATATTGGCCACATATGTCCTGAGCCTCAGTTTTCTCTTCTGTAAAATGGGGCTAATACTGACTTCACTACCTGCTTCAGAGGAAAGTGCTTTGCAAACTGTAAAGAGGGTTGGGAGGAAAGGAGATGTGTGGAGTCATTGTGTTTACCAGAGTCATGCTGCTAGCCAGCTGGGTTTTGGGGCCCCAGGGTTGTGGCTAAAAGGGACTTGGTTGTTTTGAGATGGGTGTGACCAGGCAAGGCCTGCAGGAGTGGCTTTTTATGTCAGAAGTGCAGCTGGGGTCCTCCTTGACTAGATGGGAGACTGTGGCCTGTGACCCATCCTTCCCATGAGTTCACAGGAACCTGGAGACATTTTCAGACGATGGGTCTCAATAGGAGGGGCTAAAACCTGGGGGAAGGGAGATGCCAGGGCATTGGCTGGTGACGCTCCCAAAATCAGGGGTGCCCAGCCAAGATTTAAATGCTCATCTCTTATCTCTCATTCAAAAGGGCCACCCCCTCCACTTCTGAGGCTTATACTTTGTAGGGAAAGAAGGCTATTACATCAATCAGCAAAGATGGAGATAGTCATTATTGGAAGGTCTGTGGGAAGATAAACACCCTAACACACTATTGATGGAGCTCAATTAACCCACCCATTCTGGAAAAGGTTTGGGGATTATTGGAGAGCAGCGACTTTTTCTTTTAAATGGTTCTTTGTTGTAGTTGGTACCTGGAACCTGCAATTGTCGGAGGGATTGACTGATTGAGAAAAGTGACTAATCTATTCATAACCTTTGATCTTGGGATATCATTATTAGATTTTTACCCCAAGAATGTGGACAGAAAGAAAAGCCCCATTTGCATCAAAATACCCACAGTGGCATTTTTTAGGATAGCAAAAGGCTGAAAGCAGAGTGGGCGCCCAGTGACTGGGAAATGATTACTGAAATTGGAGAAAATTAATGTTGAATGATCACTGAACTTCAAGGAACAACAAAAGTGAAGAAAAAGAGGATGTTATGGACAGACAGCTGCTCGGGATGGGGGGAGGGAATGGTGGGGAGGGGAAGGGGGAGGGGGTCAGAAAGACATAAGTTCATGCCTTGTCTCTGGCCATGTGACCATTGGCTAGTCCTTCAACTTCCCCTAGCCCTCTTATTTCCCTCTTACCTTCCTTCTGTTAATTATTTCCTAATCATCCAATATGTAGCCTGGCGAATTTGTTTACATGTTGTCTACTCTATTACATTGTGAGCTCTTTTCCAGCCGGGGCTGTTTCTTTGGTTTCTTTGTATCCCCAGAGCGTAGCAGCCTGCCTGACACTTAGTACATGCTAGGTGGTTGGTTGATCATCAGGGCCCAAGGCAATGTTCAACAACTGTAAGTGGAAGAGGAGTTGCCTCTCTTTATAGTTAGAGGGAATTTCCGTACCAGGACCCATCATTTCCCCCAAACTGATTTAATGGCAGGTCCAGATCCCCTTCCACCTTCAAAGGAATGATGAATATGAAGCATATAGGATATAGAGAAAGAGGGAAAGACTTGCAGAGTGAAGAAAGAAAAACCAGGAAAAAATACATTCAGTGTCTACGGTAATGCAGACAAGAGCAAGGAATTCAGACCGAGAGCAGTGGCCAGGGTTGGTTCTGGAGGACTGACAACAAAACACACTGTCTTCCTTTCTGTTAAGAAATAGCAGCGAATTGTGTGTGCTTCCAGTCATAGTTACCATATCGGATGGTTTTGTTGAGCTGTTTTTAAAGAAAAAGCCCGACGTACATGTGCCTGTACTGGGGAAGGGGGGTAGGAAGAGTTGCTTCTTGACAAGGGGTTGTATTAAAAGAGAATTTATCAATAAAACATAAAGGGACATTGAAGTCTGGTACAGCATGGTAGAAAGAGGGAACACGTGTTTATTAAGCACCTTCTATGTTGTAGGCAATGTGCTCACGCTGGATCTTCACAGTAACCCTGGAAGATGGGTGATGCTCTGATCTACATTTGACAGTTGGAGAAACTGTGGTAAACCTAGGTTAAGTGACTTGCTCAGGGTCACACTGGTAGTGAGTGTTTAAGGCTGGATTTGAGCTCAGGTCTTCCTGACCAGGCTCTATCCACTGGGGCCACCTAGCTGCAATAATATTTAACAACTTTCCACATATGCTTCTGTGACCCTGGTCAAGTCATTTAACATCCCTGGGCCTGTCTCTCATCTGTGAAACGAGAAAGTTGGATTTGGTGATCTCTAGGCCCTCTCAGTGCTAAAGCAGCTAGGTGCAAGGTGGACAGAGTGCTGGACCTAGACTCAGGAAGACTTGAGTTCAAATCTAATCTTAGACTCTTACTATCTGGTTAACCCCGAGCATATCACTTAACCCGCCTGCCTCAGTTTCTTCATCTGTAAAATGGGGATAATAACAATACCTCCCTCCCTCCCCAGAGTTGTTGTGAGGATAAAACAGGTTAATATTCCAAAGCACTTTGTGTAATTTATAAGCCATGTATATGTTGGCTATTATGATGGTCATCATCATCATCATCATCATCATCATCATAATCATCATTAAACCATTGATCCTGTGACCATATGTATCCACTGGTGGGCACACAAAATGGGCAGGACTCTCAAAACTTCAGAGCTCAGGATTTGAATTTAGAGCTGCCTCCCTTGTCCTCATCACATCTCTGGTCTGTTCTGCTACCTGCCCAGGAACTGGGTGGGACCTTCTTGGCCTGTACTCTTTGATTTGGGGTGGAGGCATGGTTGAGGGCAACCTTTCCTTGTACCCATACCAACCACTGGGTCTTGATGTCTCTGAGTAACTTCCTACTTAGCTTGGGCTGCTTCATGCCTGCCCCGCCCCCAACCCCCTTACATGGCTTCAGGCAACCCCAAGACTAGCTTGGGGTAGAAACGAAATTTCCTCTTGGCCAGGATACAACTGATTTTGTCATTGATGTTCTTGGAGTTTCCCCCAGCAATGGCCAGAGTTCACTGGCTTCAAGGGTAACAAGAAACCACTTGCTATCTCTCACCCATTCCCAAGCCTGCCCACTCCATCACTCACGCCTCTCCCCTTCCTTCTTTGTTCCTTTCCCCCAATCCCCTTTTCCCCTGTCCCTAGAACAGAATGACTGAGAACCTGAAGGCCTGCTTGGCTCATACCCAGGCTTCCATGGGGGAGATGGTGACTGTGAAGACAGAGGTCTGCTCACCCCGACGGGACCAGGAGTATGGTCAGCCCTGGTAAGGCATCTCCCATCAGGCTGCCAGGGTGGGCGTTTTGGGTAGGGGCTGGATTTGGGTTCATTTGGCTCATCAAGGGAAAAGCCTCAAGTTATAGGAATCATTGCATTTGAGAGATAAAAAAGGAACCTTAGGACATAGAATATAGAATTTCAATATTGGAACAGACCTGAGAACCTAGAGTAGAGATTTTTAAATTTATTTTATTTCCATCAATTAACAAGCATTTGATTTTTTTCTACTTCCTCATTGGAAAAGAAAAAGAAAACCTTTGTAACACATGCCTAGTAAGACAAATTCCCTAATTAGCCATGTCCAAAAATGCAGGTCTCCTTCTCCATCTTGAGTTCATCACTTCTTTGTCAGTAAGTGGGTAGTGAGCTTCATCATCTGTCCCCTTAGAGTAGTGGCTGGTCGTTGCATTGGTCAGGGTTCTTCCAAATCTCTCCAAGTTGTTTGTTTTTTTGCCATTTTGTTATTGAATGCATCGTTCACTCACAGTGAGTTCATATTAGTCTTTCCAGATTTTTCTGAAATAATCCTCTTTGACATTTCTTATGGGACAGTAGTATTCCATTACATTTATAATTCGTTCAGCCATTTCCCAGTTTATGGCTATCCCCCTTAGTTTCCAGTAATTTTCCCACTATAAAAAGCTCCTATAAATAGCTTGGTACATAAGGGTCCTTTAACTTTTTCTTTGATCTCTTTGGGATATTAGCTGAGTACTTGTATTGATTCAGAACATAGAGGGTCAGAGCTGGAAGGGACCTTAGAACATAAAATGTAAGAAGTGGATGTTACCTATTAGAGCAGAATGAACTTAAGAACAGTGCATATAGAATAGTAGAGATGAACGTGTCCTTAGGAGACAGAACAGAGAAGGCCAGAGCTGGAAGGGACATTAGAAAATAGAGCATAGCATTTTAGAAACAAAAAGATCTTAGAATATTAATGCTAGAGAGGTCATAATATCGTAGACTGGTATCTAGAAGGGATTTTTAGAGATCATGTCATTCACACTTCCTCCTCCCATTGAATCAAAGAAAAGAGGGCCCAGAGAAGTTGCAGTGACCACCCTAAGGTCAAAGAGGTCCCCAGAACACAATGGGAAATCCAGGTCTTAAGCCCAGTTCTCCTGAGTGCCAGTGCTGGGTTCTTCCCACGCTGGGATTTGCTACCACACTGCCTTAATATGTACATCTGCCCAGTTTTGCACTGAGGCCACATAGAAGATTACTCTTAGCTCAAGGGTCTAAGCAGTCCTTGATGAAGCCAAGAGACATTTCATAGGGTACTGTGGTGGGTAAGGGATGGGCGCATGCCCTGTCCACAGGTGGGATAGGTCTGGCTTAGTTAATTGGGTAGCTGGAGTTGATGGGAAGCCTAGGCTAAGGCCTGGAGGGGTGGAGGCAGGGGGATCCCTGCCTGGCCGCTAGCTTGTCTTCCTACCCTTAGTGCTCGGCCCAACCAAGTTTTCCTCTCTGTTTCCTTGTCTCCTTCCCTGACCTTACCAGCTCCGGGAGGCCTGACCCTCCATCCATGGAAGTGGAATCCAAGAAGCCGAAGGGGAAACGAGAGCTGATCATGACCAAGAGTTTCCAGCAAGTAGACTTCTGGTGTAAGTGGGGCCTTGGCTGGTGCTCCCCACTCCCTTTCGATAAGTCTCCCTCCACCCCCTGGGAAGGAGGTCAGGAGGGACCTCAAGTTCGGAGCACGATGACATGTTCTAGAGACACTAGAAGATTATGGTGAAGTGGTAGGCATTGGCAACTACTCTTAGAACGTAGAACCTTAGAGGATGGGTGAGGAGAGACTCAGAACTGAGGGGTCAGGAGCTCCTTCTCTGAGCCTAAACATTTTGAGGGGTGGAATGGGGCCGGAGACCAGGTCTAAGCCCATAGCTCAGAATCCTAATCAGGAAGACAACCTGGAATGGTGTTCTACCCGCTTCTTCCCATGCAGTTCTCAAGCAGTGGGGAACATAGAACTTGGTGGCCCCAGTCCTCCATGCAAATGGGCTCAGCCTTCCGAATGGAGGGTGGTGATGGACAAAGTCAATCAGTCATTCATTCAACAAGTATTAATTAAGTGCTTGCTATGTGCCAGACATTGGCCTAAGAAAGTAAAAAATACAATCCCTGTCCTCTTGGAGCTTACAGTCTAATGGGAGAAAACATGTAAACAGCCACATACTTACAAGATGGATGCAATGTAAATAGGAGGTAATCTCAAGAGGAAGGAGCTAGCAGTGGGAGATGGAGGGGCATCAGGAAAGAGGAGGTGAAAGGGGCCATTTGACTCTAGCTTCATGGAATATTTTAATTACAAAACCTCAGAGGCAGAAGGGACCCCAGAGGCCCTTTAGTCCGACACATTATTGTTCAGTTGTTTTCCAGTCATGTCCGACTCTTCGTGATCCTGTTTGGGGTTTTCTTGGCGAAGATATTGCAGTGGTTTGCCATTTCCTTCTTCAGATCATTTTACAGATGAGGAAACTGAGGCAAACAGGGTGAAGTGACTTACCCAGGGTCTCACAGCTAGTAAGTGTCTGAAGCTGGATTTGAACTCAGGAAGATGAGTCTTCCTGACTCCAGGTCCAGCACTCAGTGCACCATGGCACCACCTAGCTCCCCTATCCAAGCCCATCATACCTGACACGAGAAACCTCATTATAGAATACCAGAGTAGTGGTGGCCTAGCCTTAGCTTGAAGACGATCCCTGAAGGGGTAGCTCCTTATCTCCAATGGCAGCTCTTGTGGACAGCTGTAATTATGAAGGTCTTCCTGATAGCACACTTAAATTTGCTTCTTGGAAACTTATGTCTTGCTCCTGGGAAGACACTGAGCACAGCAAGTCAACTCTCCCTTGTGCATAAATGTTGGATTTAAAATATTGGATGACAGGTGCCGTCTCTCTGCCTACATCTTCTCTGCTCCATGTTAATCACATGTTTCTTCAGCTGATTCTCAAATAGCATGAACTTGGAATCTTGGAGTAGGCCCCCTCTAAATGTAGAAGAGAGAATATTAAAGCTTAAAAGAGGCCTTAGAACATAGCATGTCAGAACCAGAAAAAGCCTTAGAACACGGAATGTCAGAGCCAGAAGGGACCTCGGAAAATGGAATGTCAGAGCTGGAAGGGGCCTTAGAATACAGAATGTCAGAGCTGGAAGGAGCCTTAGAACAAAGAGTGTCAGAGCTGGAAAGGGTCTTAGAACAGAGAATGTCAGAGCTAGAAGGGACCTTGGAACATGGAATGTCGGAGCTGAAAGAGGCCTTAGAATACAGAATGTTAGAGCCAGGAGGGACCTTGGCACATAGAATGTCAGAACTGGAAGGGGTCTTAGAACAGAGAATTGTTAGAGCCAAGAGGGGCTTTAGAATGTCAGAGCTGGCAGGGGCCTGAGGACAAAGAATCTTAGAGCTGGAAGAGACCTTGAAAAAGAGATTATTACGATTAGAAGGCCCTTAGATCAATCAGTCAACAAGATCTTATTTATTAATGTTAATTTTTTTTAATCCCTCCTGTTTCAGTCCCCTTTGAAAAGAGAAAAACAGAAACAAAATCCTTGTAATGAATGTGTGTAGCAAGCAAACAAATTCCCTTATCAGCCAAAAAAACCCGTGCTTCCCGACCTGCACTCCGTGCCTGTCACCTCTCTGGAAGGAGGAGGGCGGCATATTTCATTGTGAATCCTTAGAATCGTGGTTGGCCATCGCTATGGCTGCTATGTGTCTGGCACATGCTAGGGGCTGGGGATACAAATGGTAAATATGAACCAACCCCTGCCCTCAAGGAGCTGATACTAATGAGGTAGACAACAAGTGTATCTAGAAATACATACAAACTAGTGGCAAATAAACACAATGTAGCTGAGTACATGGCTTGGGAGGGAGGGAACTGGTCTTGGGAAAGCCTTCCTGTAGGAGACGATCTCATTCCTGGATCGTAAATTGAGAGTCGGAAGAAGCCTGGGGACACTGAGTCCAACGAGAGGTTAAGTAGTATGCCCAAGGTCCCGCAAGAAGAGACTGGGGCAGTCTGGACCTAAACCCCGGCCAGAGCTTTAGACTAAGTCCAGCTCTGTCATTTAAACAACAATAGTAATGATAACAGCAGCTAAATATTTATAGTTCCTGCTCTGTGCCAGGCGCTGTGCTCAGTGTGTTTTCTCATTTGATCCTCACAACAATCCTGGAAGGTATATGCTATTATTATCCTCACTTTACAGATGAGGAAACCAAGGCAGGCAAAGGTTGTGACTTGCCCAGAGTCACACAGGTAGTAAGTGTCAGGTGTGAGATTTGAACCCTGATTTTTTTGACTTGAAGTTCAGTGTGCTTTACACTCTACTATGCTGCCTCCCCGTGCCCTCTTGTTCCAAGTGTCCCTGCAGTCCCTTCCTTGGGAGCCAGGCGAGGCCAATAAGAAGTGCCTGTTAGGTGTGAATGCTACCTCCCTGCTCCCCAATAGCTAATTCCCTCTTTCTGCCTTTTGCCCCTGCAGTCTGTGAGTCCTGCCAAGAGTACTTTGTCGATGAATGCCCCAACCATGGCCCCCCTGTGTTTGTGTCTGACACGCCTGTGCCCATGGGCATCCCTGACCGAGCGGCCCTCACCATCCCACCTGGCATGGAGGTGGTCAAGGAGGCCAGTGGGCAGAATGATGTGCGCTGCATGAATGAGGTCATCCCTAAGGGACACATCTTCGGGCCTTACGAAGGGCAGATCTCAACGCAGGATAAATCGGCCGGCTTCTTCTCCTGGTTGGTGAGTTTCCCCTCTGCTGCTCACTTGGGACATCACTGGGGAAGGGATTCAGTGCCAGAGCCTAGGTCTCAGCTCATGGGCCTTTCCTCCATCACATAAGAGATGTGGGTAGTAAATCCTGCTGTGCCCACAGACTGAGACCCAGGGTGGCTGAGGAGTCCACCCTACAATAGGGCAATTCAATAGCAAACATTGTGGTACTTTGGCAAAGATGCTGGATTTGGATTTAAGAGCTCTGGGTTCAAATCCAGGTCTACTACTAATGTGACTTTGGTCAAGCCACTTGACCTCTTTCTGCCTCCATTTCCATATTTGTAAAATGAGGGGGTTAGATTCAGTGACCTCTAAAGTCCCTTTCAGCTCTAAAGCTATGATCATGTGGTATAAGTAGCATATTTCATTGGGAATCCTTAGAATTGTGGTTGGCCATTACTCAGCAAGACTTTATTAAGTACCTACTATGTAGCTGGCACATGCTAGATGCTAAGGATACAAATAATAAGAATGAACCGATCCCTGCCCTCGACGAGCTGACATTAATGGGATAGACAACAAGGGTATCTAGAAGTACATATAAACTAATAAACACAAGTTAGTTGAGTACAACATGGCTTGGGAGATAGGGAAGTGGCCGAGGTAGGTTCAAACAAAGTGGCCTTTGGACAAAGAATGTCAGAGTTGGATGGACGTGCTGTAGTCTTCTGCATTTCCTCTCTCTTTCATGCTTTCTGGGATGCAAGATGCCTACGTGAGGATGTGGTGGGCCGTCTGGAGCAAAGCTTCATACTTCCTCAGGTTTCCCAGCAGAAGCCCTTACCAACTATGCCAGTAAGATAGGGCAAAATCCTGTACTTCTTCTTAGTTAAAGAGATTAAGGGGAGATGGAACAGACTGAAGCTGGTGTGAGAGACAAGGTGATGATGGCTGTAGTCAGGGAGGGCAAAGCTGAGCTCCAAAGGGAGGTCCCTCCAGCAGGGGCATTCTGGTGGTGAAGGGGCCACCCAAGGAAAGATGGCATTTCCTATGTTGTGAAGACAATGGTGGCGTCCTTGTGAAAAATAAAGACGAGGTCAAGGTTCAGCCATCATGGCGCCTGTTGCCAAGAAGGGAGCTGACCTGGGACTCAGGATTACATCCAAGGCTAATACCTTTGCCTGATTCTCTTACTGCCCGTTTGTAAAAATGCCTCATTAAAATGTCTGTATAACAAGAAAGGAGGAGAAAGAGGAGAAAAGGAAAAGGAGGAGAAGAATGTCAGAACAGGGAGAGACCTTAGGAAATAGGATGTTAGAGCTGGGAGGAAACTTAAAACAGAATGTGGAGCTGAGAAGGACCTTAGGCCAGAGAATGTCAGAGCTAGGAAGAACCTTGGAACGTAGAATGTTAGAGCCAGGAGTGTTCTTAGAACATATAATATCAGAGCTGTGTGGGACCTTAGAACACAGAATGTCAGAGCTGGAAGGGACCTTAGAACACAGAATGTCAGAGCTGGGGGGGACCTTAGAACATAGAATGTCAGAGTTGGAAGGGACCTTAGAACACATAACATCAGAGCTGGGAAGGTCTTTAGTACATAGAATGTCAGAGCTGGTAGGGTCTTTAGTACATAGAATGTCAGAGCTCAGAGAGACCTTAGAATATAAAATGTCAGAGCTGTGAGGGTCCTTAGAGCACAGAATGTCAGAGCTGTGAGGAACCTTAGAACACAGAATGTCAGAGCTGGAAGGGACCTTAGAACACAGAAAGTCAGAGCTGGGAGGAACCTTAGAACACAGAATGTCAGAGCTGGGAGGGATCTTAGAACATAGAATGTTAGAGCCAGGAGTGTTCTTAGAATACAGAACTTCAGAGCTGGGAGGGACCTTAGAACATAGAAAGTCAGAGCTGGGAGGAGGCTTAGAATACAGAATGTTAGAGCCAGGAGTGTCCCTAGAACACAAAATGTCAGAACTGAGAGGGAGATTAGATGTTATCTGATCCAGTCCCTCTCCTTTTTTTTGTGCAGACATTTTAAAAAGGCTTTTTCCAGCTGTAAATTTATGATCTTATGACACCAAGTCCTAGAGAGACAAGAACTTGCCAGGGTTCCATAGCTAGGTAGGGAAAAGAGCCCTCACCCTCACCCAGATCTCCTGACTCCCAGTCTGGAGTTGGTAGCACACTGTGACTCTTTCTGAAGAAGGATGTCCCCCATGAAGCTTGAGCCAGGGTTTTAGGAGGACAGAGGCAGCCCTCTTGGATATGGGGCTGGTGGATTGGGGGCACCTCTCCTGCCTAGCTGTGACAAAGGCAGAAATGGCCCGATTTCAAGGCCAGTGTAGTGTCAGGGCTAGAGCCTTGACCTTGGGGTTGGCAGATTTGGGTTTGAATCGCTGCCATACTATGTGCTCCCTGAAGGCCCTCGGACAAGAAATGAGGTTCCTTCTCTGGGCCTGAGGTTTCTCATCTGTCAAATGAGATTGGATGGATGGTCCTGAGGGCCCTTGCAGCTCTCAATCTAGGACTATTAGCACCTTCCATTCAAGTTTTTTAAGTCACATCTTCTTTTAAAGGTGCTGGGGTGACAAAAATGAAACAGTCCCTGCCCTCAGAGAGCTTACATTCTTCCAGGGAAGATGACATGTCACCACAATGGCCATTTATGTGTCTCTTTGAATATTCCAAGCACTTTACCATGTTATCTCATAGGATCCTTCCAACAACCCCGGTGAGACAGGCTCTGGGAATTGCTACTCCTGTTTGAAAAATGAGGAAACTAAGGCACAGGGAGGTGAAGGCATTTGCCCATCCACAGTCACTCAGTAAGGTCAGGGTTTGAGCCCCTGCCTTCGCAGAAGCCAAGCCCAGCACCTTTCCCCCAATACTGTGTTTCTGGAGCTGATGACACCTGAGAGACCATCCAGTTCATGCCCCTTCATTTCACAGAGAAGGAAACTGAGGCCGAAGAGGAGGAAGTGATTTATCTAAAGTCACCCAGCTAGTTGGGAGCAGAAGCCAGACTTTAACCAGATTCTTCTTTCTCCAAGTCCGGTCTTCCTCCCTTCATATCACGACACTTCTCTACTCTGTACGGGGCCGGATATTTGAAGCTTCTCTTGGTCAAGTCAACAAGCATTTCTTAAGTGCTTATTATGTACCAGGCACTGGGCTGAGCAGGGAATATGAGCACAAGCCAACAAGAGAGAGTTCTGACCATCAAGGAGCTTACATTCGAATGGGGAAGACCACACTCAAGAGGAAGCTGACAGGGGGCAGGACGAGGATGATGGAGAAAGAAGACAGAGCATGAGGAGCCCAGAGAGGGAGGAGAAATGAGCATGGCTGGCCTGGACTCTTCACCAAAATGGAGGCCCTGGGAGGGACTGGGCACTCAGGAGAAGGGGCGACAGGAGCAGCCCAGCCAGGGGTTCCCTAACCTGTGGACTGGGCACCTCAAGAGCACTTTGATGATGATGATGATGATAACTCACATTCGTATCATAGAATTGTGGCATCATTTCAATCTAGAAGGGACTTCAGAGGTCATTGAATCCAATCCCCTCATTTTACACATGAGGAAACTGAGCTTGAATCTGCCTCCCTGATCACCCCATCCATTTCCTCTGGTTATGCCCTGCTCAAATATGGCAGCTGTCATAACCCACCCCCATTTTATGGGCTTATAGATTTAGAGTTGAAAGAAACTCCAGGCATCATCTAGTTCAGTCCTCTAATTTTACAGAAAAGGAAGCTGAAGCCCATAAAGGTTAAGTGTACTCTGGTAGTAAATAGGATTTGAACTCAGGTCCTCTGACCTTAAATCTGTCACTCTTACCATACCGTGCATGCTGATTTCTCTTCTCCATGGTATGATATCCAGTCCCTTTAGCTTCCTGGTTCTCTTTCTCTGATTGATCTTCAGCTTGCCAATATCCTTCCTAAAATCAGTCTGTCAGCAGCATTTTTTAAATTTCATTTTTTAATATGAATTTAATGAGCACTGAAAAAGAAGGGAGAATGGAATAAGCATTTATGTAGTGTCTACTACATGCCAGGCACTATGCTAAGGGCTTTTACAAATATCTCATTTTCAAAGGAATGCAAAGTGCACTTTCCCATATACAGTGTTGAAGAGAAAATGGAGGTTGATTGTGAGACCAATCAGTGAGCGTTTAATAAGTGAGATGTTTCACCAATACCCTTATCTACCTAATCCCTCCCACATTGCTCCAGGCACTTCACTTATCCTTCTAGCATCGAGGAGATATTGGGAAGGGGGCTGGCAGGGATTTGTAATAAAAAGAGCAACTCAGACTTAAATAGTGCTTTATACCATTCCCATCCCCATCATACAGATGGGAAAGTAGAGAGCAGTTAGCAGACAGATTGCACTTTTCTTAGCATATCCTGGATGTTCTTGTATGTAGCTGGCCCTAGGCCAGGCCATGCTTCATGTCCTAGCTGTCTACCACTGTCATCTTCTCGCTGTCTACATAAACATCCTTCTGCCCCACTCGTGCATCCTTTCAACCTCTTACTATGGGAACCATAATTGAATCAGTGATAAGCCATTTGAGGCACCTAGGTGGTTCAGTGGAGAGAACTCCAGAGCTGGAGTGAGGAAGACCTGAGTTCGAATCTAGTCTCCCTCAGATACTTACTAATTGCGTGACCCTGGGCAAGTCACTTAATCTCTGTCTCCCTCAGTTTCCTCATCTATAAAATGGGGATAAAAATAGCACCTACCTCTCAGGGTTGTTGGTCAGTTCTTGGCAACAGACCCCATGATGGCTGAACCTTGACCTTGTCTTTATTTTTCACGAGGATGCCTGCATTGTCTTCAAAACATAGGAAACGCCATCTTTCGTTGGGTGTCAGGCAGATCAAATAAGATAATACTGGTAAAACATTTTTGCCAACCTTAAAGTACGATCTAGGTACTAGCTAAGATTGTCACCATTGCTTCTAGAATAGTTGTGATTAGATTGCCCAATGCAACACTCACCATCTCTGTGACTTCCCAGATCAGATCACTCACCACCACCCCATGTATTTATTATCTCTTCTAGTGGAATGTAAGCCTACTAGGGGCAGAGACTGCTCTACCTTTATACCACTAGCATTTAGCAAGGGATTGGAGACATGTGATTGTTGAATCATTTCAGTCATGTCTCATTCTTCATGACCTCATTTGGGGTTTTCTTGGCAAAGTTACTGGAGTGGTTTGCTATTTCCTTCTCCAGCTCATCTTACAGATGAAGAACTGAGGCAAACAGGGTTAAATGACTTGCCCAGGGTCACACAGCTAGTAAGTGTCTGAGGGAAGCCAGATTTGAACTCAGGTCTCCCAGACTCCAGGCCCAGCACTCTATCCACTGTGCCATCTAGCTGCCCAAATTGGAGACATGGTAAATGTTTAACAAAATGCCTTCATTCATTCATCCAGAGCTGGGCTTAGAATGTTGACCTCTTCCATAAGACCACACAGCCATGCTGGGTGCCATTTGCAGGGAGTTGTCCCATGGAGCTGAGCTCAAGCAGGGTGGGCAAGAGAGGGACTCTCCATTCTGAGTTTGAGGGAAGCCCTCGGCAGTACTGGGAGGAATTGCCCTGGTCTGGTCCTGCTCTGGTTGTGCCAGACTCTCTCTCTGCCTTTTCAGATTGTGGACAAGAATAACCATTACAAGTCGATCGATGGGACAGATGAAACCAAAGCCAACTGGATGAGGTGAGTCAGGCTCTCTGTCATGGGTGCCTCCTCGTCACCCCCCAAAATGAGGGAGGCAGGGAGCGGGGGGGCATGGCAGGGAGGAGAGCCTACAGGGCAGCAGCCTCCATCCTCTTGTCTCTTCCCATGCTTTGGAAATACCTCCCTCAGTGTGACTCTACTTCCTGCCACCGTTCAGCCAAAGGGGTCAGAAGAAATGGCTTTGAACCCATGGGAACCCTGAGAATTGGGAGGAAATGGACTGACTGCTAGCTTTCCACTAGGCTTTCCTTAAAGAGGCTGCTGCCAGGCAGTGAAGGTTCAGGCCTCTTGGGACCAGAGACAGGGGAAGCCTTCCCCCCAGCTTTCTGGGGCTGTGTACTGTCTTGCTGCCTGTGTTCTGTCTGGGAGAAGCCAGCCTTTTTAGGAAGCTGTGGATGAAGGTAGGGAGTGAATCTCTCCACCTCAACAGTATATCCCAAAGCCTCCCCACTGTTCCTTAATTGCTTCTGCCACTCAGGGGATGCCATCTTTGTCCTGAAACTTAGTACCCTTTAGGGTACCCTAGGTGCCCTCTGTAGCTCTCACAGCGCCGACAAGCTATGTGGATAGGCCACTATTGTCAGAGGATCAGGGGACTTAGGACTGAGAAGCGTCTCTAGACCAACCCCAGCATTTCACAACTAAGGAAACAGAAGCAAGAGGTCAAGTGATTTTTCCCAAGGTCACCCAGGCAGTAAATGGCAGAAGCAAGACTGGAATCCAGGTCCTCTGATTCCAGAACCATCAGTCTATATCTGTGCACACAGAGCACTTCTCTTTCAATGGCTGGGGTTGGGGAAGGAGGAGGAGGTGGCTCTTTGGGGAGCTATGGACTGTACTTCAAAGTTATGTTCAACAGAAATCCTAAGTGAATTCAAGTAGGATTCCAGACCAGGCTGAGAAATTCCCATCTACCCACAGTGGTGCCATGGGCACAGCTATGATGTCTGGCACGTGAGCAGTGAGCTTGACCTCTCAGGTTGGGGGTGAGGCACCACTGGCCAAAGTATATGAGTATGGACAGAGGAGAGGGGGGCAAGCTCATGTAGTCTAACTACTCTCTGTTCAAGGTATTACCTGCAGTAGGGAGGTCCCTAGAAAGAGAACCACTGGGAAAATGCAAGGGAGATTGGGTGGGGGTGTCAGGAAATGGGCTGGATGCAAATGAGATGAGACTGTTTGGAGGAACTGGAGGCTCCCTGGTTTCAGAGGCACTGCAGCATTGGAATAGCTACTATTTTGACTGTCAGAATGAATAAAAATGAATTAATTCCAGGGGGGTGAGTCAGTGATAAGGGTTAGAAAATTCTTCTCCAGCCTTTTAAAAAGCTCATGTTTATACGCATTCCTGAGCATGCAAATAATAATAATGATGATGACCATGAAAATGATGATGATTTTTTAAAGGTTTGTAAAGCACTGTATATATGTATATACTTATCAGAACTCATAATATTTGTGTATGTACATATCAGATAGATAGACAGACACTCAGATCGATTAGATAGATAAGTGGACAGATTGGATAGATGGATAGATGGATGGATGGATGGATGGATGGATGGATGGATGGATGGATGGATGGGTAGCCAAGTAGTTGGATGGATGGATAGATACATAGATACATACATAGATAGATGCATGGGTAGATCAGAGCTCATCTATATGTATAATCTTATTTGATCCTCACTATAACCATGTGAGATAAATATTATTATTGTCCCCTTTTTACAGATAAGGAATCTGAGACTGAGAGAAATTAAATAACTTTGCCAGGGTCACACAGCTAGGAAGTCTGAGGCAGGATTCAGACTTGGGTCTTTCTGAGTCTAGATTCTGTGCTCTGTCCACTGTACTCAACAGCTATCTGTTCTATGATATTCCCAACAAGTGGTCATACATCTTTCCACTCTCTGGGCTTGCTTGAGACCACCAGCTTTGTTTTTAGAGGCCAGGAATCCTGCCTGTATCCGACAACTTGGGACTGGTTGAAATGAGCTGGTTGGCTTCCAGAGAAACAAGACCTCTCAGGAGAACCAGGTTGCCAACTTCCTTCACTTTCTCCTTGTGCCCCCAAAATGGTGTTGCAAGTGGAGATGCTTTGGAGTCATACATAGGATCTAGAGGGGACCCTAGAGGCTATTTCATTTAATTCCTTTATTTTACAAGAGAGAGGAAGGATTACAGGATTAGGGTTTTAGGTTTAGAGCTGGAAGAAAGTTTAGAGGCCTTCAAGACCAACTCCCTCATTTTACCATAACAGAGAGATTGAGTGACTTACCCAAGGTCATGCAAGTCATGCAAAGCTAGGGTTTGAACCTAGGCTCTTTGGTCCCACAGGAAGCAAGTAGCAGAACTTCCTTTTGTCCCTAGGTCCTTTGCTTTCCAAGCCATTGCTTGTCTTCATAGTTCCGGAGCTTAGCACTGTGCCTGACACGTAGTAAGTGTTTAATAAATGCTTATTGGCTGACTGGCTGATTACATGAGGAATGAATGAGACTGTCTGCCTAGTCCCTTAGCTTGCACCATGGTTTCTACAGATGAGCCAAGCTGTAGACTTGGCCATGGTTCCCTCTTTTCACTCCATTTTCTTTGACATCCTTTCTTAGGTAGAGATCTTGGTGCTGGTAGAAAGCTCAGCAGGGCTGGTTCTCATATTGAGTATTCAGAAAAGGTCTTGCTGAGGACAGGCAGGGACTGTGAGCTTCCTGGATGTTCCTGCCCCCATCCTGCTTAGGTTTGGGAAGTTGGTCAATGTGGGGCTTGGCTCCTGGGCGTCAAAGCTCAGGCACGCCTTCATTTTACCAATGGGACATCAAGTGACACCAAGTTAAGCCTACTGCCAACTTGCCCTGTCTCATGTCACCCTTGCATTCAAATCAGGTGCCTTCTTCCTTTTGCCATTGCTTTCTTGGTTCTTTGGAAGACCTCATGTCATTGTGAGTCATGCCACGTGATTGCAGCCACAAGGCTAGTAGAGGCGTTGAGTTGCAAAGTGACTACTTTGCCCCTGGGGGTGCAGAGGAAGGATGCTAGCCATATTCTTTTCTTTGGGGCCTCCAACAGATACTACACAGCCTACTTCTTATCAGAATTCATAAACATTCTCGTTTCCTCAAGTGCCTTTCTGACCCATTCATCTGGCTACAATTTTTTCTTGGACTTGGTGGTCCCCTCTATCTGCTGGGGCAAGATAGAGGGGGCTAACTTAGACAGGCGTGGTGATGAGGGCAAGAAGCCAATTCCTGTCGGCTCCCCCTTGGGGAAGTCCAGCAGTTTAGGTAGGAGCAGGACCCCCTTTCCCCACCACTCATTGATTTCTATTTACCCAATTGTGCTTTGTGGGATATTCAACCCAAGGAACATGACGTCCATGACTGAACGTAAGAGGAAGCCTAAATTCTCCAAGGATGAGCTGGACATTCTGGTCACCGAGGTGACCCGCAACGAAGCTGTCCTCTTTGGGAGGGAGACCATGAGGCTGTCCCATGCCGACAGGGACAAGATCTGGGAAGGAATAGCTCGGAAAATCACCTCGGTTAGCCAAGTCCCCCGCTCAGTGAAGGACATTAAGCACAGATGGGATGATTTGAAGAGACGTGCCAAAGACAAGCTGGCCGCCATGCAGAAGTCACTGTCTGGCCCTGGCGGTGGAAGCCACCCCCCCACCATTATCCTTACTGCCCATGAGAGAGCCATTGAGTCCGCGTTACACGCCTCCCACTCAGTCCGTGGCTTCCCAAGAACAGATCTGAATGGCGTGGACAGTCCTTCAACTAGCTGTAAGTATCACTTCTTTAACCTTCTTCCCTGTTCTCTGTCTCCTGCTGACTCCTCCCTCTTCTTGCTGGGCCTCTTGGCTCCTTATGCCTCCTCTGGGTTTTTCCATCTCTCTACTTTTTCCTCATTCTCTTTCCATCTTTTCTGGCTTCTCACAGTTCTCTCTGCTTTCTCTCTCCTTTGTCTCGACCTTCTCTATCTCTTTTTTTCCACACTTTCCTTTTGTCTCTCACTTCTGTCTCCTTGTTTCTGCTCATTATTTTTTTCTGTCTCTCACAAATCCCTTCCTGCATATCACACAGACTGACTCTCAGGCCAGGGTTTGGGGGAGAAGAGTATCCTGTTCTAGTCTCCTGGAGTCATTTTGGACTTTGCTATCATTCAGAATTGCTGAGCATGTGAGGGAGCCCATCCAGGGACCTACCTCTCTTCCTATCACAGGGCTTCCAAACTCTTCAGGCTCCACTTTGGTTCCATCCCCACTGTCCTTGCTGAGGGCTGCCCTTCTTTAAAAACTGAAATATCTTCTCCAGCTACTGAGGAGTTAGAAGGAGTGCAAGGGTGAGAGTTAGAGCGTGGGGAGCCCAGCTGATGGGAAGTTGACTTTTGGAGGCCTGAGCCTCTTGCCCAAAGCCCTGTGCCAATGGAACACAGACTTGGGGCCAGGTTGGACTTTGTCTGGGAGCCTATTCATAAGAGCGTAGCTTTTGATTTAGATCTGTCCCAGCCTTTTTTTTTAACAGATGAGGAAACTGAGGTCTAGGGAGGTTAAGTTATTTGCTCAGGATCAAAACACTAATATCTGAGGTGGAATTAGAACCCAGGTCTTCCTGATTCTTAGTTCAACACTTTGCATGTTTCATGGTCTCAAAAGTCACTCCTTAGAGTAGTCATCTGAACCTGTGCTGGCTTCTTGGTGTAAGGTAGATTAGAGATAATAGGATCATAGATTTCTAGATAGAAGGGATTTTAGAGGCCATTAAGTCCAACTCTACCCATTTTGCAGAGGAAAAAGTTAAGGGCCAGAGAGAAGCTAGGATTGTGACTTGTCCAGCATCATATAAGTATTACATTTCCAAGGTAGGATTTGAACCCATGCCTTCCTGACTCCAAATTCAGTGCTCCATCCACTACGCCATGCTGCCAGCACTCTACAACCCTGCCCAACTACAGGGTACAAAGAGGAGTGATTGAACCCTGACTCCCTCGGCCCATCAACTTATGAAACTCCCTTCCTAAAAAACAGGTCCCTCATCACTCACTGGTCGTGGATTGTCTGGTCTCCAAGATCTCGGCTGTGGGGCTAGGACTGTGTGTATGGGTGTGTATCTTTCTATAGGTGGCATGTTCCCCAGGGAGATAAGAGCAGTGCTCGGGCGATAGGTGAGATTGAGTCAGAGTGTAGTCTCTGGAGACTGACTGCAGCTTGAAAGTTTCCCATTGCAAGATGGTGGAAAGACCATGGAGCCTGCTGGTGTGGAGGGAGATTCCTCTTTCAGTCACTGAGGGACTCCATGCTCAGCTAGTTGTCTTGCTCAGGATGGCCTTTGTATGTGAACTAGGGGATGTGAAGGGCCAGCCCCGAAGGAAGACTCCTTGTTGTGTTTCTTCCTTAGTCCTACCTCTGGGCTCAGGATCTGTTCTAGTGACCGGAAAGTGATAGTGGTGGCGATGTTAGACCTGGGGGTTGGGGTTTCTACTGTTCTTCACCATCCTGTGTCCACACACAGCTTCAAAAACAATTCCTGTCTTCCCTCCACTTCCTTTTTCCTACCCTAACTCTAATGGAAACTGACATTTTAAAGCTGCAGTGTCCATGTGGCCACAAGGTGGCACCAAAAACCTCATTAAAGGCCACCCAAGGCTTTGGAGTCCAGAGAAGTGTGAGCCTTTTAACAGAATCACAAGACATCAAAGTTGAAAGGGGCTTTCAAACATATAATATGGACTATCAGGACTAGAAGGGAAATATTGAACACAACATGTTAGAGCTGGAAGGAGCCTTAGAACATAGAATGTCAGAGCTTGGAGGAGCTTTAGAACATAGAATGTCAGAGCTGGGAGGGAACTTAGAATATAGAATGTCAGAGCTGGAAGGAGCCTTAGAACATAGAATGTCAGAGCGGGGAGGAACTTTAGAACATAGAATGTTAGAGCTGGAAGGGACCTTAGAACAAAAAGTGTCAGAGCTGGAGGAAACTTAGAATACAGAATGTTAGAACTTGGAGGAGCCTTAGCACATAGAATATTAGAGCTTAGAGGGATCTCAGAACGTAGAATATTAGAACTTAGAAGGACCTTAGAACATAGACCATAGGATACCAGGGTGGGGAGGAACCTTAGAATCATGTAGTCTAATACTTTGTTTTATGGTGGCGAAATTGATGCCCAGAGAGATGTCCAAAGAGCCACAGGCAGTTGGTGGCGTGGCTGGGAAAGCCTTGGTCTTCTTATTCCTCGTTCAGAGCACTGTCCAAAGTAGACTCTTTTCCAGGGAAATAGTTCCCAGTGACAGGAGGGCAGCTTTAAAGGGTGTTGTTGACCCTTGTTTCCCCTCCACAGGTGTGCCCCTAACCAAAGAGCATGATATCTCTGCCTAGATTGTGCCTCCATTCAATCAGGGGGTCCCAGACACTAACACAGGAAGGATAGTAGGTTCCAGGGGAAGGAGGCTGCCTTGTTTAGTTTAGTCTATGAGGACCACCACCCCTGTCCCTGGCAGAAGTAAGAAAGAGCTGGCAACAGATACTCTGGGGCAGCCAGTTTTTTCTGCCTTGCTAATCCTTTGTATTTCTGATTTCTCTCTCCCAAGATGATGAAGATGAGGAGACTCCTGGACCCTCACATCAGCCCCCTCTGACATCACTGCATCAAGATCAAGAAGAAGTTGCCCACCTGGCCAGGCCAGCCCTCTTCCATTCTTTATCCTCTTCCAACCAGTCAGAGACAGTGGAAACAAAGCCAGAGGACATGCCACCGCCATCAGCCCAGGCACCCCCGCCCTCCCATTCCCAGAGCCCCCCACTATCAGGCTTTGACCGGCATCGCTTCCAGTCTCACATCCAGGAGTCTGAGCCCTTCCAACGGTTTTGCCAGGAGCTGGTGACCGTCCACAGGGGTATGGCAGACAGTATGCACACCATAGGCCAGTCTATGGCCGAACTGACTGGGTGGGTCAGCCAGATGTGCCAGATGCTGAGCGAGATCCGAGATGGAGTCCGGGCACTCCAGCAAGCACCCGGCCTGGCGACTGCCACAGACATACCACACCAGCCTGAGCCCCACCGAGCAGAGCCCAGCCTGGAGCCAATCCCACCCTCAAGGACTACTCGATCTCGGAAGCGAAAACACCATTTCTAACCAAGCCAAGCTGAGCTGGAAAGAAAAACAAGCAGAAAAGGGTTAGCTGTCTCTGAGCATGGGGACTTCATTACAAAGAAGAGCTTCCTTGTCTCAGGACCTCATCAGGCTCACTCCTTAGATATGTCTAGGGACAAGCCATCACCTCCTCTTTCTTGTGTCCTGCCAAAGTTGGAAGTCTGTCAGGAATCAGCAGGTGTTCACTAGCTTCAGTGAGTCACCCCCTGAAGTCTTCATCCCATTGGGCAGCCAACCTAAGGTGGGTGGGTCTGGGTGGGAAATCTGACTTTCCCACTCAAAAGAGACTGGAATGGTGATTGACTGTGTGGTGCAGGCAGGTGGCTCCACTCTCTTGACCACAGGCCCCTAGGCAAGATTTGTGCTGATGAAAGATGGGGAGAGGGTGGTGGTTGGAGCTCAGCACATTCAGACAAACCGGCCATGCCCTCTGCTTGATGGTGCCCCTACCTGGGCCCTTGGACTCAGCTCTGGCTTGCATGCTTTTGTGTGAGCCATTACGTGAGTTTAGTTTTGTGTTTTTGCCTTTTGTGGGGCAGGGTGGGATGTCTGTGAAAGACAGGATGAGATAGAAAGGAATCCCCTGAAGAATAGCCCCTCTTCCCGTAGCTAATGCACCGTATTTTATAAAGCTCACTCACAACATACTATCTCACTGGATCCTCAGAACACCTCTGTGAGACTGGGAGGCAAGGGAGAGATTGTGAGTCACATTTTACAGGATGGGAAAAATGAGGCCCAGGGAGGTTTTAAGTGACTTGCCCAAGGTCAGGGAGCCAATAGGTGGATATATCTGGGTCTTTCTGTCTTTAGACCTCTCTTCCTTCTTTTCCACCAGCCAGGAGCTCAATCTTTGGTAGCAAAAGAGGAGGAGGATGTATCTGCCTTTATTGATGAGGGAGCCTGGCCTTTGTTCCAGCCCCGTCTCCCATCCTGTAGCTGTTCTTGACCCTCATCCCTTGGTTTTGACACTGAGGAAGCAGACTTCCCAGGAGTCTGGTCAGTCTCTCTTCCTCTCCTCTGTCCTGGGACAGAAGGGAGGTCTGAATGGATGAGGAGTGGGTCACAAGAGAGCATTTGAGATGGACAATTCTCTTCCCTTCCTCCTGGCATTCCAGTGGCATTGGGATCCCTTCAGTTGCTCTAGTTGTCCAGAGCTCTCTTGTAGATAAGATAACATGTGTAAGGGTACAAATACACACATCTATAGCTTTCTCTGGATTTCATTTTGATGTTTGGCCTATGGCATGAAAGCTGCATTCATGGTGTCAGGGAGAGAGTTTGGGGGGAGTTCAGCCCAGTGAGCCTCACTGTGCTTTCACTTTGGCCTCCTGTCCCCAAGGCTGGCCCAAGTCAGGGCTGACACCCCATGCCCACCTAGACTGGAAAAGTGGGTCTCTCCCAGACTCATCACGGCAAACTAAACCTCATGTCCTCAAGTTTGAGGTAGGGGAGGAGACATTGGGTGCCCCAGAGCCTTCCTTCAAACTTCTCTCTCCACGCTGATGTCTTAGAATAGCATTTCATTGCTACTTGAGCTGAGAATCCCTTATCCCATAATCCATGGCTATGCTTCACCCCTGCTCCCCCCCCAAAAAAAAAAATTTCCTTGGAAGTATTTTTGTTAAAATGGTAATAAAAAGAAATATCTAACACGTCTAACATACCTAGCCTTCAAGTTCTTTCTTTGGTGTGTGCTCACTTCCTATCCTCCTCCACCCCCACTCACCCCTCACCCAATTTACCATGTGTATTCTTGGGCCCTTGAGGAGCTAGTATAGATGGTTGCAAAGAAGCCAGAGGGCAGAAGAGCCTTACCTGCTTTCTGATTACCTCAAATACCACTCTATCTTTGGAGCACTGTCCTCCTTCCCATCATAACTATTGATGTCTGACTCATCTTTCAAGGCCCATGCTACCTCCTCAGAGAAGACTACTTCTAATGGGAAATGAGTTCTTCCTGATCCAATCTCATAGTACTTTGTACTCCTCTCATATACTTACCATATTCTAATTTGTATTATATCCATCTGCCTGTGCCTGATCCCCTTTAATAGATTGTAAGCTCCTTGAGTCAAGGACTGTGTCTAATTCTGTTTGTACCTTCCCCAGCACTGTTAGCCATGCATCCCACACAGTAGACACTTAAGAAATAGATGAATGAATGAATGAATGAATGAATGAATGAATGTGCCCAACCTGGTTCTTGATATTATTCAGGATACAGAGAACCATAAGATGGATGGATGGATGGATGGGTGAGTAGGTGGGTGGGTGGATGGATAGATAGATAGGTGGGTGGATGGATGGATGAATAGATAGATGGGTAGGTAGATGGATAAAACTTGGACCTACTTTTCCAATAGGCCATGGCATGAATGTAGAAAATAATAAAATGAATAAATGAGCCCAGCCTTGCACCAGGCCTTATTGGTGGTCTAGAGAAGCATACAATGAAGGAATGAATGAACAAATGAATGAATGAAAAATGTGTCTAGCCTTTCATTAGGCCTTGTGATAGATAAAGAGAAACATAATATAGTCCCTACCCTCAAACAGTTCATGGTGCCTTTGGGGAGGTGACATACACATAAAACAACTGAAGTATTTTTAGTCTTAGTCAACATAAATTTATTAAGCACTTACTGTATATACTGTCCCAAATGCAAGAGATGCAAATTTTAGCACCAGTCCTTTTGGTTTGCATGGGTGGAAGAAGGTAGAATGTATAAAAAAAATATACCTCTCACTACTGAGCAGGAAGGAGATTTAGAATCTTTCCTTGATATGCTTGAAAGACCTACTTTCTTTCCTCCCCCCAACCCCTGCCCACCTCTGCCCACATTCCCATTCCTCAGTCAACTGCCTTAGGAGTTTTATTACATCAGAAATATTCACCACTGAGGTTTCTCCCAAGCACTCCTTACTAATACCTTCCAGCAAACTGGATCTACAGAGGGTTTTTTTTAATTTAAGTTGGATCTGAGGCATGTCTGGACCTGGCTAGAAAACCTGCTTTGTTTAGAGAAAAACCAGCAGACAATGCGTTAGGTGGAGGAATGTTTGCTTGGAGCTGTTCCACATCAGAGTCAGCAGTGTTGAGGGGAAAACCTTGAGACTGCCTTGAGACATCTAGTCTAGGACTCTTTGGTATTTCATTGATTTGTCTAACTTCAAATGAGACAGAAATAGCTACTGAGGTTTCAACTACTGGCAGTCATCCTGATGTTTTATTTTTTTTTAAGGGTTTTTGCCAGCTCCTTCCTTCCCTCCAACCCCTATCGTGCATTCTACCTTCCAAGGATGTAATATGGCTTCTTCCACCATGGCACATGACATAACATGACCTAGGAGCTCCATCAAGCCAACTTGCAAATAATCACTGTCCCAGAACAATCAGGAAAGATTGCTGCTTGCCATGTGCTTTCCACAGGGCAGGGCAGACACATAACAGGGAACTGAAGTCGTTCGGGATTTGTTATGGAGATATTCATCACATGGGGGGAAGACCTGGGCTCCTGGGAGCACATCTAAACTCCTTTGTATCTTCAAATGCACCATTTCTGTAAGAGGAAACCAGCATTATTTGGAAATGGCTTGGGACAGTAGAAAGAGCGCTTAGTCAGAGGTCTTATATTAAAATCCTGAGCTATGTTGGCCAAGTCACTTTCCTCCCCTAGGATTCAGTTTTCTCCGCGGTAGAATGGGGTGACTGAACTAGATGACCCCTGAGGTCCCTTCCAGCCCCAAATCTTTGATCAGATGCCTTAATGTTTTTAAAGGTCCCTAAGTGGAGAGAAGACGCTCAGTTATCTGGAATAGTGAGGCAAAAAGGTTCTGATGATCTGGATGGATTGAGACTTATTACCTATGCTATGCCTGGAGGACTAATGTTCAGAGACTCAAAATATAGACATCAAAAGACATTTTGAAAGATACGAGATGAGGTACACAAAGCGCTTTCCACACCTTAAAGCACTATTTAAATATAAGGTGTCCCAAAAGTCTTGGTTCAGTTTTAAGCCAATAAAAATCTTAAACCGGCAGTAAGGCTTTTAGGACATTCCATACTAGCATTAATTTAACTAAAATGATGCTCCAGGACTTTGAAAGCCCCATGATTTCATTACTATAGTTACTTGCTTCACAGGCACAGGTCATAGAAGCCCCTCCAAGACCTATGTAGATGGTGCTTGCTGTAGGCTAAAAATCACTCAATCAACAAATCCATCATTAAGTTCCTACTATATGCCAGGCACTGGACTAGAAAATTGTCCCCTAGTGACCAACTCAGGTGATGAACCTTTCCGCCTTTATTGAGAGGACTCTTTGAACTGTAGAAATGCAAGGCATTAAAAGGGACATTCTCAAAGTTTTGCTATCAGTGGGTTAGGGAAGAGAAGGGAGAAAGGGCAGAAGTAAGCATTTATATGGTGTCTACTGTAGGCAGCTAGGTGGCACAGTGGATAAAGCACCATGCCTGGAGTTAGGAAGACATGAGTTCAAATCTCACCTGAGATACTTACTAGCTGTGTGACCCTGGGCAAGTCACTTAACCCTGTTCTCCTCAGTTTCCTCATCTGTAAAATGGAGAAGGAAATGGCAAACCACTCCAGTATCTTTGGCAAGAAAACCCTAAACGGGATCATGAAGAGTTGTACACAACTAAATCGAGTGAACAACAACAAAAGTACCTACTATGTGCCAGGCACTGTGCTAAGGTGCTTTACAAATATTATCTCATTTGATCTTCACAACAACCCTGCAAGGTAGGTGCTATTATTATCCCTGTTTTAGACTTGGGGAAACTGAGGCAACAGAGTTAAGTGACTTGCCTGCGGTTGCTGGCACAACCTTCAGAGACTGAGGGTCACCTCTGTGCCATGATGAATGAGGCATCAAGGCAGAATAGTAAGGAGGACAGGGGACTAAAATGCTCCTGAATGGAAAATGCTCTTTCTTATAGAATTCAAGGGGTACACTCAGAATCCTGTAGAGCTCAAGAATCTGTGTCCTGGAAAGCAGTTTTCATCATCAATCTGTGCTGGATCCTTTGACTCACCCTAGGACTTGTTTTTAGAAATAAGAACCCGTTTATTTCCTATTTGTTTCTTCCTAATTAAAGTTGAGGGCAGGAACCAACTCTGGCTGCTAGAACTTGGGGGCCAGATAATAAGCCTTGGTTGTCGAATTGAGTAGGCAGAGTTCTTGGACAACCTGTTGGCCCCCATGTCTCAGACA